GTACAAATGAGCGTTCTTGCTCATTTTGCCTCCGAGAAATGAGCAAAAACGGGACGAAAAACATGAAATTTTGCAATAATCTTACGCCACCCTTGCACAAAACAACGATAATTTTTCTAATTTCATAGACAACAGAAGACTGCATTTCTTCATAGACAACAGAAGAGGCTATTCAATATCCTGGCTGACGATTAGCAACAATTCGCATCTTTGACCCGCAAAGAGCCAATGCCGATTTGCTAGACAATCCGCCCGTTTGATGGATGGCTTTTGGGCTAATGAACCGAATTTCCATAATTCATGCCATAGTCTATCTGCTATTACCGATATCTTGCACCCATCTGGTTAATGGGGCCCCCTTCGAATCTGGTGCTACTTTGATCCCAGCAGTGATGGATGATGATAATTATCGTCATGCATTTCATTATAAACAGTCCGAATGACGAATGAATCTAGTTGAGGCGACTGTTAATTGAATATTAATAGCTCGTGGTGCTGGCTGGGATTGGGGAGCTGAAGTCAGTGGCCTCAACAGGAGGAATCCGAGCTTCAACTTACGCACGAGCGTGGTAAAGCCCCATCACATCACAACCCCGGCTAATTTTAATAACACATTATGCGTGTAGGCCTCAATTTGTCCAGGCGACACGGGTAGTAAATCCTGTGCACGCCTGGCCTATTTAAAATGCAAACTTCTCAAAAACGCTTGCCACTGATTGCCCATGCATTCATTATCTTTGCTGGCCACTTGACGATCCATCTAAGGACAAAAGCCGCTCGCAAAACCGGAGCCTAAACAGTAATACCCACCCGGAAACCCGAACTATTAACAATTCGCCCGCTTCCAACAAAGCAAAATCGAGGCACCAACTTTGCAGCAAACTTTAATCATGGTCGACAAATTCGGCACAAATCGCAAAGAGATTTGCATGCTTGTAAGTTATATGCATACATACTTGGAACAGGTAATTTACGCTCACTACTCGCAGCGGCTTTATTCGCATTATTGATTTTGCCGGATTTGGGTCACTTTCTTAAACGCAAAAGGGCTTTCGGATACCGAATGTTTTGTTGCTGTTTGCTAATTAGTATCAACTTTATGGCATCGCTAATGGGGAGTTCGGAGGGCCAAAACCTGCAGAGCATGCCTGGTTAGGTTCAGGGTACCAATTAGATAACCAACACAGGGAGATGGTTTGAAAAAATTTGCAAAATTGATGGCCTGAAGTGAAAATTGACTGGGAACTGGTAACTTGTTTAACGCATGATGCCAATAATAATTTTAATATTTTTGTTAGTCCAATAATTTATAAATGGATCAGGTATATGTAAAATTTAATTGAATTTCCTTTTGAATGTAAAATATCTTTTTTATTTGCAACATTTAACATTCTCTAACGAGATGTTGTACATATTGCTCTTCTTGGGTTTGTATAAACTCCTCTTCTTGAGTTTCAGTATTTTTTTGTCGAAATTTCTTATTTGCTTTGTATAATCTTTGACGTTCAGCACTAGTTCGTGGATGATAAAAGCTACTTTGAGTCGATCTATTACTTAATGCTCCTTTTTTAGCACGAAATCGTTTTTGGCGTTACTTTACTTAATACTTTTCGCATTATAGCATGTTTTTGTGACTGCTCTTGTGTATGAAAAAAGTTAAATTAAATTGAGAAGATTTAATCATAAAGAAA